TCCAACAATCATAATCCAAAACCAAACAGCTAGAAGGGGAAGGTGAGAAGAGAACACATTTTAATGTTTGTTTTTTCTTTTTAAACCTGACTGTTTAAAGATTTTGTGAAGCTCTCAATGCCTCTTGATTTACTTACAGTGTTGTCTTTTGTTATCAGTTTTGTCCTCATCTGTGTTGTAGTATTTTCCCTTTGATTCTGTATCTGACTCTGTAGAGGATATCAAAAGGTTAATCACAGTTTAGCATCAATTTGCTGTTCAAATCGTGATGAATATACCTCAGCTGTCCACTTATTATATAAATAATATTTCTAAATACACACTGAGCTTCTCTCACCTGTGACTGTCACTGTGATCAAGATTTCTCCTTCATAGTCCAGAACTCTGTATGTTCCTGCATCATTGGCTGTAAACTCTTTAATGCTCAGAGTCCCATCAGTGTCGGTCAGTTGATCGCTTTGAGCTCCGTTGCTTCTGCTCCAAACCTCCCTCCAACTTGTTTTGCTTCTGGTCCAGTGCACAACTTGATTAGCATTAGAAAGAACATCTAACTTGTGCTCCTCACCTGTTTTCACAGAAACCTCATCTGAGGAGAAACAGCATAAGCATATATGTAAGACCGGGGGAACAAATGTAATCATTTATCAGTGGATAAAATCAGCCAATATTCAGATTAATCCGAATATTAGTGTCCCGTTCAGAGTGTCTGCTGGTTACATGGTTATCACACAATTATTAAAGGAAATCCAGAAAGCAGATCCTGGTAGTTTGATCAGTTTTGACTTTACCGTGAATATGAAGTTGGTACGTCCTGATTTGTCGCCTCAGCTTTGTCTGATCATTATTGTAATAGACATGCAAAAAGTACGTCCCAGCATCACTGAAGCTCAGATTCTTAATGAAGACGTCACAGTTTCCGTGTTTAAATACTCGTCCTCTACAGTCTTCAGTCTGACAGACAGGGATGTTTTCTGACCCATTGTTTAAACTAATATCAGAAATCTTTTTGGTCTCAAATTGACATGGCAGTGTGACGTTGTCTCTCTTTTTTCCTGACACAGATATAGTGCTGGTTCCTACAGGCGGGGCTCCTGCAAACACAGATTCATTCAATACAACGTATCAATACTAAAAGTGTCACCATAAAATATTCTAGGAGAGTTATTTTAATTTAGTCAGTTGGATTCACTTTTGCTAAAGACGTTTCACTATCCAAGTGTCTTCGGCAATTGTGAACTGATGGAGTTTCTTCAATATTTAACATCAGAAATGCCTGTAAAGTTTAAGGTTGTTGGTTCAAGCCATGAGCTATTACACATGAAAATTAAATTATGCAATAATCAGAAACACTAGAGTATGAAAATGTGTCTAATGTGTCTACGTGTCCCTGCTGATTATTTCCACTTTCCTCAGTTCAGAACTGTTCGTCTTATGAGTCACTTTTGTGTCTTATGGTCTTTCTGTACTCACAAATAAACCTCATTCATGACAATTCAAAGCTAGAGCACATGTGTCAGAGCAGTTATAGTGAATTCTTGAACATCTCTGACCAAACAATGTTTAATAATAGACGGACTGCACAGACAGGTCAGTGATGTCATAGTGTGTGATGATTTAATATGCTGAGAAAATTCTACCATCAATCCATAAATACCAACAAAATATCTTAACTTACCAGAAGAGAAACAATTGACTAGAATAACTCTGGTTTTACAAGGTTTCACAATTTATGAACAAAAATGACACTGACCGCTCTGATAGATGAAGCAAAACAGCAGCAGCAGAAGATTGAAGCGTTTGAACCTGATGAGAATACAGACAGCTGTTATGAGACAGATACAGACACACATCACACAGAGTTTAATACAGCAATAAAATACTTCTCTGAGTGATAAAATACTACATAACTGACCACAGTCAAAACCTCCAGTTTCAATTTTATTTAAGGATTTATCACATGTGGGTCTTATAAGAAACATCAAACTATAATCTGAATCTTTGGTTTTATGTATTTTATAGATGTTCAGTGTAATCATCCAACACAACATGATCCGTCAAACACAAATGTTTAATGGACACAAACAGTCAGAGAAATTCAGTAACCTGCTACCAAGAAATCATTTGATTACAAAGAGTAAACAGTGTAGAACAATTGAATAATTACATTAATAATTCCACTGATAAAACCATCAACATCATCTTTGTTCATCAGCATAATGATAAACATGTTAGCATCATTAGCAGGTTAACAGAGAAACCTTTTCCTCAAACAAACAACACTACTGCTACAATAACACAAAAACACACATAGCTTTATTTAAAAGAATAAAACTTACATTGTAAAAGTTCTGCATGAGTTTTACATTCTGGCTGTCTAAATTTCATAAACCACTGCAGGTTTAGCGAGATTCAAGTAAAAACAAAACTGAAAGTATCATTCCCAAAGTTGAGAGCTTTCAGTCTTTCAGAGAGAAAATGGTTGGAGTCTCAAGGATGATTATGATTGGTCTTTATTGCCCTCTGCTGGTTATTCTATCAAAGCAGATTGAGCTGTGAGAAGATGTGTGGTCTATTAGCTTGCACAGACCATATGACTGATAAAAGCATGGATAAAACAGTGTGTGTAGATTTGTGAGTCCAGACACAGTCCAGAGACAGCCAGGTAATAAGAGCTAATAATAAGAGGGCAAAGTCCATCAAACATTGTGGATCAAATTGAGTATCAAATACGATTGAATGTCATGCTTAGAGCAGCTGAAGTTCATTTTGAACAAGATCCCTGATGATTTGTGTACAGTTCGAGCAGCAGATTTCAGCTCTGATTGT